TGTTAATCACCATACATTACATCATTAGTTTTTGATGTAGTGTTCCATGATTCATTGTTTGTGCATAACACCCAGTGCTCCATTCAATACGTGCCTTCCTTAATACCTATTTTTTTAAGTAAACTTTTTTTTTTAAGATTTTATTTATTTATTTATTTGACAGAGAGAGACACAGTGAGAGAAGCAACACAAGCAGGGGGAGTGGGAGAGGGAGAAGCAGGCTTCCCGCAGAACAGGGAGCCTGATGTGGGGCTCGATCCCAGGGCCCTGGGATCATGACCTGAGCTGAAGGCAGATGCTTAACGACTGAGTCACCCAGGTGCTCCATTAAGTAAACTTTTTATTTGAGAGTGGGTTTTGATTTACAGTGAAGTTGTGAAGATAGTATAGAAAGTTCCCATATATGTCATATCCAGTTCCCCCAATTATTAACATCTTAAATTAGTGTGGTACCTTTGTTAAAATCAATGAGCCAATACTGATACATTATTATTAACTAAAGTTCACACTTTATTCAGATTTCCTTAGTTTTTACCCAGTGTCCTTTTTCTGTTCCAGGACCCCATATTTCATTTAATCCTCATGTCTTCTTGGGCTCCTCTAGGTTGTAACATTTTCTCAAACTTCCCTCATTTTTGATGACCTTGACAGTTTTGAGAAGTACTGGGCCAGGTATTTTATAAAATGTCCTTCAGTTGGGATGTGTCTGATGTCTTTCTCATAATTATATTGAGGTTATGCATTTTTTGGAGGAAGACCACCAACATAAAGTACCATTTTCATCACATCGCACTCAGGACATGCCCCATCAGCCTGACCTAACACTGTGGATGTTAACTTGGTCACCTGGTGGAGGCATGTTATGTTTGTCAGGTTTCTCCACTGTGAAATCACTCTTTCTTTTTTCCTTACCATACTTGATAAATATGGGGCTTCCCATGGGCCACAGCTTCATAATTCTGAGACCACCACACATGTATACTGGGATAGAAGAATTAAGTAAGTGGATGACAGTGGGACTCAGTGTTCCCCCTGTTGGAGGGAAGGTTACAGAGCTGAGGGAAGGTGGCTACAAAACACGTGGCAATGTACTGCAGCTGGAAACATCAGTATGAGCTCACGTTTCCTTTAATGTACAGATTGCTTGATATAGCGATACTTAGAGTTGTGTGTAGACAAGGTTTACAGTACATAAATACTTTCTTGCTCTGTCAGCTGAGATGGCCTCTAAGCAATGATACCCAAGTAGCAATAAGCAGAGCCAGCCCCAGATCTTTGTGTTCTAAAACCATTCTCCAAAAAAAGGAACCAGAACTCCCTGGAGAAATGGCTGATTCCAGGACTGGGGCAGAAAATATACACGGGGAAGTATCTTGTAGGGCCAGAAAGTAAGGGAGTGATTAAAAAAAAAAAAAAATCCCACAGTGATGGGGTAGATCAAACTGACACAGGAGCCAATAGACAGAACTGGCAGAATCGGGCCTTCTCCTTTAACGACCAGTGATAGCTACTACCAGGCGCTGAATGGTACTTCACACCCAGCTAAGGCTACGCAGACATCACATCAATCCTCACAATATTCTTGTGAATATTTTCCTCAGTTTATGGACAAGGAAGTGGAGACTTGAGATGGTGCAGTGAACCAAGATCACACATTTGGGAAGTGACCTCTAGGATTCACGACCTTCATACTCAGGGTCTGCTCCAAATGCCACTCACGGCCTGCTCCCACAGCCTCTGGGAAGCCCTGGTCATGAGTGGGTGGCCCACAGAGGCCTCACAGGCCAGGACGCATACTCCTGGTGTGGTTTCTGGTGCATCTCATCTTCTCCAGGAGATGGTAAGCTTGTCAGGCAAGACAGATGTCTCCCTTTCCCTTGCTCTCTCCCGCCCCAGTGGCCAGCAGAGTGCTGGATACACAGTGGCCAGCAGAGTACTAGATACACAGTCCAATAAGTGCCTGTTACCTGTCTCTAAGGTAAAATCCCCCTTCTTTCTCCAGAGAGCACACAGTTCCCTGCAGGGGGAACACATACTAAAGGTATCATAACTCGGCCTTCTGCTTTAGGCTTCTTACAGGCGTGGTGTAAGAAGCCTAAAGCAGAAGGCCGAGTTATGATACCTGTTTCTGTTTTACAAGTCACGTCTCTTAAGACTCTTGGTGCTTCAAGCCAAGATTCCTTTCCCTTTAATTTAGAAGCTTCCAGAATCTATGAGCCCTACATGTCCCTCAGATGTATCCTCTATCCTGACTTAAAGAGGGAGATCCGAAGCTCAAGCAGTACAGCCCTTTGTGCCCATGCAGAGAAGGGGAGCCGGGGAGGGGAACTGGGCTCCGGCTGCCAGGTACGCCCCACCACCTGCCACAAAGTCCCCTCAAACAGGCCGTGGTGGCTGGCTGCTAGTCACTGCCATCTGCCCCAAAGCTGAAGGCAGACCTCAGCATAACGGTAAAGCCTTAGCCACCTTCAGACTGAGGAACCAGAAAGCCAGCATTGCCTGGGCCAGACTGTGCTGGGGGCAGACTGAACTGGCTTTCTCCTCAAGGAGTGAAGACCGGGTTTCTCGTGACCCTTGTGGAACTTCACCACACAAGCAAGGGGGCTCTGTGGGCCCTAATGACCCAGCGTGGGTCATAAGATGCTGAAGGTGCCAGCATCTAAAGTTGTCAAGGCCCCACCGGCAGAGTAGGGGGGAAAGTTGAGAGAGTTGAGAGAAGGACATGCCCCAGAAGACAAAGACCCAACTGCCTGGACAGCGCTGTCTTCCTACCATTGACAGAGCTGGCTCTGGAATGGGGGAGTTTTCCTTTTCCTTATGTGAGGATGTGTCATTTAAGTCTGTCTCCATCTGTATCTATATAATGGCAGACAACTGGCTGAAAAGTGAAAATGCAAAGTAATGAAATGCCCTCTCTGTCATCCGGACATCAACTGGGGCCCTGTGGTCTCCTAAGATTGAAATAAGGTAGGCTTGAACCCTCATTCCATCCTGTGGAAAATCCAACATCCTCCCTCTACACCCCAGGAATGGAGATTCTTGTTTTCATGTTCGTATTTTTCTCTGAGCTAGTACCACTACCGGGAAGAACTCATGTTTAACTTAACATATATGCAAATGTATATATGGAGATAATTATAGACGTATGTATACATGGGTTAATATCCACATCATTAATCCCTAGCTCTGCCTGCTAAGAGGCCCTAGAAACAACAATGAACACCCCAGGAGCAATGAGCACACTAGTGGCCCAGATCTTGGTTTCTAAATATCATTGTCCAATAAAAGGCACCAGGACTCCTTGGAGATGTGATGGGTTCTAGGGCAGGGAAAACACAACACGCGCCTGGAGCGTATTGCAGTAGGAGAAAGTAAGGAAGTGCTCCATAAACAAAAGTATTGTGATGTCAAAGAAAAGAGCACCTAATGGCCAAAGCTGGAATGATTTGACAAGAAAACAGATAACATAACATTGGATTATAACCCAGAGTGTGTATATGTAAGTGATGACTGAATTAGTAAAATAACGGGTGAAGAGAGGTGGCTCCTCCTTATGGAAGATTCTAAACGATGTATGGAGAGACCCCCCGCTGCTGCAGGGTGTGGGGGTACCTTTAGCCCCCTCCTTTAAGTTCTAAGCCTGGGCTCTAAAAAATATTGTGGGGAAAGTAAAAAATAGTAAGTTAGGGTGGAGAAACCTGGCAGACATCCCCTTAGCCACACGGTGAGGACAAATGTCAGAAGGGGTGGCACACCATCTCATGCAACCTTCTACATAATGTGATGAGCAGGGCACTTGGCCTCTTTAGTATTCTTTCCAAGAACCCATAACCCCAGTCTGATCGTGAGAAAAAGATGAGAGAAACCCAAATTGAGAGGCCTTCTACAAAATACCTGACCAGTACTCCTCAAAACTGTCAAGCTCATGGAAAAAAAAAAAAACAAAAAACAGAAAGGACTTGAGAAACTCTCACAGGCCAGATGAGAGTAAGAATACATGGTAACTAGATGCAGCATGGTGCCCCGGATGGATCCGGGGACAGAGAGAGGGCATTCGTGGGAAAACGGCTAAAATCCAAATAACTTCTGGAGTTTAGGTGATAGTGACGCACCAAGCCTGGTTCCTTCGCGGACATGAAGGATATGAAGATAGGAACAACAGGGGGGCAGGGGGCAGGATATACAGAAAGAAGCTCTATGTACTTCCCCTGCAACCTCCTGCAAATTGAAATTTCTTCCAAAGTAAGCGTTTAAAAAAAACCCAACAACTCTAATTGAGCTTTGAAACAATATATCCTGAAGGCACCAAACACGCACATCACACTTGCTCAGGAAACGTCTGGAAGTGCAGCACGGGTATTAAGCTCTCCTTCTGACGTTATTGTCGTCACGCCGAATCTGTGCGAGGCCTGCATTCTCGAACGCTCACTGCCTTACCTCTCCGCTCAGGCCCGTCTGGCCTGCACCAGGCCCACCGAGGCTGGTCGCAGACCTGCTTTGACGGCCACCTAAACAATTCCTCAACACAGAAGCAAACGGACCCAGCTCTTTGTGTATGGCCGACTTTACTAAAGATGTGGAGAAATGGAGAGTTCTCCCAAGTCTAAGCTCATCTTGAAAAGCAGTGTCTGGGCCATCTCCACCCTGCAGAACTCCTGCCACTGCCCCCCGTCTTCCCTCCACCCCAGTTCCTGGCCATAGCTCCAGCTGAGGACTCGAACCTGCCCTTTATTTACTGCCCCCGACCCTATGTGAGGGGAGTTTTTCCGCAGCTGGCTTCCCCCCGCCCACAGGGCACAGGCCGGCCTGACACCGGAGTCCCTCCACAGTCAGGGGCCAGCCCTGCACGAACTCGCTGTGGGGCGGGGGCACTGCAGGCCGGGGAGGGCACAGAGCTTCTGCGGGGAGGCGCATCTCAGGAGCCTGGTGTGTCCCCGAGCTATAACAGCGATGATCGTAGGCAGGAGTGCAGAGCTTCTGGGCAGCGAGGGACCCTGGAGGTGACGATTCTGCCCCTTGTGTTGCAGATGTGGAAGATGAGGCCCGCGGTGGGAGCACTGTGTCATGGAGGGACTGTCCCAGAGTGAAGTCAGGAGAATCCCAGGCCATCCGGCCGGGAGCACAGCCCAGGCGGAGGTGGGGGCACCCCGAGGCCGTCAGAGCAGAGCGCCCGGTGAGAGTGGCCCGATGGGGTCCTGCTGTGGGGGACCTGGCTGTCTGGGGAGAGCAGCCCCACACCCATGCATCCTACGGGGGCCAAGGAGTCCAGGCCCAGGGTCCCCATCTCCACATCCCCCCCAGCTCCTCAGACGTGGCTTCTCCTATGGCTTCTCGGGAATTCGCCCCCCGTGACCAACTGTCCGTGTGTATTCCAACCAAGCTTCGGAGCAGTGGCCGTGAGGTTCGGTGAGCCTTCTGAGAATGAGGTGAACGGAATCGTGTCAACTTCTGAAGAAGACAAAACAGAGGAGGGACTGGGAGCTGCTACTTTGTTCTGTGACTGCTCTTCACTCCTCCGTTCGTGGAGCTGATAAAATCTACCTCTCTAATGTTCTTAAGCTGGAGCCCCTTGGACACGTCAGCTGCTTGCCATCCTTCTTTATGGGCCACTCATCCTCTGCAGCTCATTAAGCTGAAGAGGCCTGGGAATAAAGTTTGAAACGAAGGTTAATGAAGCTCTTTGTCAAGGAAGGAAGGAGGGAGGGAAGAAAGGAAGGATGGAAGGAAGGAGGGAAGGGAGGGAGGAAGGAAGACAAAAAGAAAGAAGGACAGGAAGAAAGAAAGAGAGAGAGGGAGGGAGTGAGGAGGGAAGGGAGGGAGGGAGGAGGGAGGGAGGAAGACAAAAAGAAAGAAGGACAGAAAGAAAGACAGGAAGAAAGAAAGGAAAGAAAGAAAGAGAAAGGAAGAAAGAGGGAGAGAGGGGAGGGAAGGAAGGAAGGAAGGAAGGAAGGGAGGGAGGGAGGAAGACAAAAAGAAAGAAGGACAGAAAGAAAGACAGACAGGAAGAAAGAAAAGAAAGAAAGAAAGAAAGAAAAGAAAGAAAGAAAGAAAGAAAGAAAGAAAGAAAGAAAGAAAGAAAGAAAGAAAAAGGAAGAAAGAAAGAGAAAGGAAGAAAGAAAGAGGGAGGGAGGGAGGAAGGGAGGAAAGAAGGAAGGAAGGAAAGTCAAACCAGAGCTGCGTGAGGCCGTGAGGCCGGCCTCAGCTCTGAGGCCCTGCCCAGGCGGAGGGCAGCTCCTCTCTGGCTAAACGCCACCAGTGAGAGGGGTGCCTGTCCTCTTCTCCCACTGCCTAAAGACGCCTGTCACTTCCCGTCGCCCGGTGGCAGAGCTGCTCAGCCTCTCTGCGGCTGCCGGACATTGTCAGATCCTGTGGGGCTGGGGCCGAAAGCAAACACGCATGCCTCCCTCCCTCCCAAAGCTGGGCAGCTCAGGGCCCTGTGTGGGGGCCCGGGGGGACTTGGTGCCCTGCCAGGGGCCTCGGCCTGCACCTCCAGAGCAGTGTGGTCCCAATTTCCAAAATTAACTCTGCTGTTGTGACATTAACCGCCCTAGTAAACATGCTCATATGTTACTGGGGAGAGAAGGCCATGAAGCCCCCATCAGCCGCAAACTAGGTTAATTTCTGGAACCGAAACAAGCCGGGGTGGGGGGGAATGGGGGCGCAGCTGGGCAAAGCAGGTCCATGCATGCTGGGGCCGTTGGGGGCACAGCAAGAAAAGGCACTGATAAAAGTACCCAAGGCACTTCTTCAACCCTCCTGGAAGAGGCGGGGGGCCTGCTTTCCCAGCCAGGCTGGAGGACCCCCAGAAGAGCTCAGGTTCGGGGATAAATTCCTTCGGCAGGCTGGGTGGCACCCTACCCTCTGTAGCTCCCCCACAGCTGCCGGAGTCCCTGGGACCTAATAATACACACAAATCAGAAGACAGGCTGCAGGCCGTGGCCATGCAAGGAGAGGGAGCAAGCTGACGCCCGCCCTAGCCTGTCCCCACTGGCCTCGCCCTCCAGCAGCAGGGTGTCTGGCCCTGGGGCTGGCAGCCCCCGCCCAGTGTGCCAGAAGCACCCTATATTGAGAGGATGAGAGCGCCAGGGGGAATGGCAGGCATGTGGCCCGTGGCAGGCAAGTGGGGTGAGCTGTCAGTGAGCCCGGCCCAGAAAGCCTGTTCTCTCCCCACACCGTCCTTCCTGTCCGCAGGCTCCGGAGCCAGCTCCAGCTCCCAGAGGGTAGTGAGCCCTGCGAAATGGATAATCCGGCGCATAGAGTGAGCGGAGGCCACTAGGAAGATGGAACAGTTCAAAACCGGCTTAAGGAAGGCGGTGGGCTTTGTCCTGCACGCTGACTCTGACTGAAGGGATCTAAGAGAGAAATACCCTCTTTATCCACCCTCCGCCCAAAGAGGCCCATCAGCTCCACGTTTCCAGGGCTGCCCTAGACATCTCCACCAAGCCCACCACCATGCTCCCCCGGCATTCCGTGGCTCGCATTCCGTGGCTCGTGGCTCAAGAGAAGTAACAGGCTAGAGATGCAGGCGTCTTGATGCAGTAACAGCCTGGGAATTTGTGATCAACCCTCAGCGTTGTCTTTCAAACCTGCAGAATGGGAACACTTGTAGCTTTCTTCCTGAGCAGGCTGCTCCTTGGCCACAAAAGAAGATGCCCTGACTCTGGTTCATGAAGGGCAGAGACCCCACCAGCAGACCCTCACCGAGCCAGCCCTGGGGGAAGGAACCATGTGGGCTCTGGGGCCACGTTACTGGGGGGGGGGTGTCCCAGCCATGCAAGGCCAGGCTGCCTTTGCCCCTGGGGCCACTAAGAATACACAGGAAAGGGAAAAGATCAGATGCCTGTCAGGAAAGGTGCAAGTGCTTGGGGTGGTGGTGGGGGGGGCGCTCGTTTGAGCACATGGGCGAGCCAGGCACCCGAGGCATTGTCCAGGAGAATGGGACCCTCGGCTCAGATAGGTAGGGGACAGGGGAGGGCAGGGCAGGAGAGGACAGCACAGGCACTGAGCCTGGCTGGCCCCTTGCGCTTTCCCAACATGGTCTGGAAGCTCTTGTCTCTCCCCCAGGGCCTCCCAGAGCCACTCTTGGCTTTAAAGTTTGAGTTTAAAGCTGTGCTTACTTGTGCAACGAGAAAGGGGGAAAAAAACCCAGGCCACTTGTCAGTGTCCCTCTGTTTCCTTCTAGGGTCAGGCAGAGTGTATGAAGGAGAGGACAGCTGCCTGTTCTGGGAGGCCCCAGAAAGGGGAGGTCTGTGCCCGTGGCCAGGCACCTGCTCCTGGAGGCATGGCCCTCAGGGCACTCGGGGCTGTGCTGGGGTCTGGCGCTCAGCCTGTGTGGTCCCAGGCCTCAGTGCACAGGCAGGTCCTGGCGCCCTGGGTCACCAGGATCTTGCTCTGAATGTGAGGATTCTTGCCATGGAGAGACCAGAAATGCTCATGCCTCTTCTCCACCAGGCCCAGGAGCTGGGAGCCTGGGGATACACGGGCTCGAGTGTGTTCTGGCTGTCCACCCCTTGCAAAGCATGGCAAGAAGGATGTAACCTTCTTGCCAGCTCACCCAGTTCCTCCCCGCAAGAGTAAACCCTAATTCTCCTCCTCCAAGTACCTGTAAAGCACCAGGATTGACATGATCGGTATTCCCCCCATGATCTCATGCAAACAAGTTAACTTCAGAAGGCAGGGCTCAAATAGCTCAACAACTCTCACCCTGGAGATTATCCAAACGGAAGATAATCCAGGGAGGCTCAAAGCCACATGGCAGCACACCCCTTGCCCTTGACCCCTGCCAGTGGCCTCAGAAAGGCTGTTGTTCGCACCGCAAATCAAAGAAAAGCAGCCCTCATTCTCTAGAAGGCACTGGGGCGCGGAGCTCTTCTCAAGACTGGGCCCACCGGCCTCCCCCTCGGCACAGCGGACAGTGACACTGGGGATCTCTGGTCACTCTGCTGTCATCCTCCAACCCTGCAAGGCTGGGCACACCACCCCCGTTTCACAGATGAGGGGATGGAGCCTCAGAGAAACGGAATGACTTGCACAGGGTAACCGGCCGTAGATCTGGCCTCCAGCCCCGGGCTCCGGCGTTTGTGACCGGCTGCGATCCGCTGCGGCCCGGCGAGGTCGGCAGCCTGGCCGCCGGCCGCTGAGGAGCCCTATTCTGCCGGGGCTCACAGTCAAGTGCCTTTCGGCACAGCCTCCCAAGCCCCTCCCGCAGCCGCCGCCACGCCCGCTGCCGAAGCCCAGGCGGCCGCTCGGGGCGCCGGACCCGGGATCATCGGTGCGGCGGCCGCCCGGGGCCTGGCGAGCCTTCCCTCCCGGGGCCGCGGCGGCTCCGAGCGCCTGCTTACTAAAAAGGCGAAGCTCTCCTAGCAAGACAGAGGGATCGCTTCGTAATTCCTATTGCGACTTCTCCAATATTCCCTCGGTCCTCATCCTCGGCCATCAGACCCCCCCCGCCACCCGTTGGGAGGCTTACTCAGCGAGCCAGATACGAGCAGGCGCTGATATAAAAATAGAGGCAGGCGGCGGGAGCGGGTACCGTGACTCACCGCGGGGCCGGCGGCGGCGGGCCTCCCCCTCCGCCCCTCCTCCTCTGCCCCGGCCCGCATCCGCTCTCCCAACTCCTCTTCCTCCCCTGCCCAGTCCCTACCTTGCTCCTCCGGCTCCGTCCTCTCTCCTCCCCCGCCTCCCCTCCCCTTCCCGGCGCCCAGAGCGCAGGTCCTCCGAGCAGACACTGGATAAAGCAGGGCTATTTGAGGCAGGCTCCCCCAAGGCTCACTCACCATCTAAGATTCCCCAGCCTTCGTGCCTGAGATGGGAGGAAACGCCAACATAGCACAAACTCTCATTCTCCTGTGGTCTTCCTGGGTTTTCTGCAGAGAATACTCCAGTTCCAGTGATCCTCCTGGCCAGCTCCAAGGTGGGAATAGACTGAGAGGAAGTGGAAAGGCTGCAGCCCAGGCCGCACCCCATCTCAGGGCCCAGGCCGCACCCCGTCCTAGAGGTCCAGGCAGCACCCCATCTCAGAGCCCAGGCCCCCATCTCAGGGACCAGGCAGCACCCCATCCTAGAGGCCCAGGCCACACCCCCATCTCAGGGCCCAGGCCTGTTGCCCCCTCCCCACCCCCAGCTCCTTCTCCGGCACTGCCAATCTGCCTGGCATCCCACACCCGCCACAGCTCACTAGCTCCCCTGTCTCAGCGAGCATGCTAATGTGAGTCAGAGGCCTGAGAGTTGTCATGCAGTCTTTCCCCCTGCCCCCTGTGATGGAAGGTTCTCTGTCTCTCCCTCTTTCTCTCTGCCTAAAATGGTTCAATAGCTTTCCATCACTCTTAGATTAAAGAAAAAATATATCCTCTGCCATGGAGGGTCTGCTCAAGCCGGGTGTGGCTCCTTCTGCACCCCCCAGCTGCAGCTACCTGTCGTCCGGGCTGGGGGCCCCCACCTTCAACCCCAGCCCTGTCATGGAGGAGCTGTTCCTTCCCACTTCACCTGCTGAGTTCTAGTGACCCTTCGGAGGCACCTCAACCTGCCCTTGCTCATCAAACCCCTCTGTGGCCCTTGACTTCTCCTATGCTGTCAGCATGAGCCAGATTTACAGAGTTACATTGCTTTGTGCTAACATGTCTCCCCTTGCCCTGATACTGTGAGCCCCCTGAGCGCTGAGACCCTGAGCCTTTGGCTCACCCTTTTATCTCCTAGCACAGTGCCCGGTGCATAGTAAATGCTCAGTAAATGCTGGTTGAATGAATCAGCAAATTAACTGCTGACTGGTGGGTGTGCCAATAAGCAAGTAATAGTGGAATTACAGAGTTCTGGATCCTTCTGGAAAATGAGGGGACTAGATTTTGGATGTCTTGACTTCTCAGACTTATGAAAAGGATAGCCCCCACGCCTGTATCCTTGGACAACCAGGAAGTCGGGTGGAGGAAAAGGATACTTCCCTGGCTGTGAACCATGACCCTGTATCCTCCCGTGGCCTTGAGCAAATGTTTGCCTCGCAGTGTCCACATTGCCCTTTGGAAAAAATGCAGCCACTCGGCACAGGGCTGGGGTGAGGGTGCGGCAAGGGGGCACCCAGGGGGCAGGGAAAGAAGAGAAGAAGCCCACTGTGAGGACAGCGCCCACCCTCATCCTGGTCCAGGCCAGACTGTGTCTTCCCGGTGAAGTCCCTAAATCTCAGAGGTGCCGAGGCCCTGGCTTTCAGATTCCTGGCCTCCAGTGCCAGTGTGGTGCAAGAAGAAATACGGGGCCCCCGTCGGGAGGCAGAGCCGGGCAGGCAGGTTCAGCCTCTGTGTCCCTGGCGGTTTGAGCACACGTCCTGCCTGGGCCTGGCCCTACCCCTGCAGCCCTGCCTTCCACCTGCCTGCTCCGCCCTGCACTCTGGAAGTCTGAAACAGAAAGTAGAGGAAAACCCAAGGGGGGGGGGTGGGAGGGATGGGGTGGCTGGGTGATGGACACTGGGGAGGATATGTGCTATGGTGAGCGCTGTGAATTGTCTAAGACTGATGAATCACAGACCTGTACCTCTGAAACAAATAAAACATTATATGTTAATTTAAAAAAAGCAGAGAAAAACCCAGGTTCCAGAGAACCTTCCAGAGATAGATGTGGAGGATACGAGGCATCCCTTTTAAGCATTTACTGAAGAAGTTCAAGTACAGTCAAGCGATTCCCTCTTGGCGCCTACAGTGGAAGAGATACTGGGCAACTACGTGTTGTGGAATGGACAGGAGGGGAGGGCCGGAGGGAGGGGAGAACTCGGAGCACTCTGGCTTAGGAAGGGCCAAGCGTGAACCGGAGCCTCGGTGGAATTTGCAGGGAACCTGGGCGTGGAGACGCTCTTCAGCGGCACTGCGTGTCCCCGTTCTGCTCACTCACCAGCTTGTCCTGCTCCTGACGCTGTCAGAGCAATGAGGGGCCAGCAGCCACGGCGGCTCTCCCTGCTCCTGCTAGAGATGGAGCCAGGACCAGAAGGCAGTCTCTGGAACCCCGGAGACTCTTCCCTCACTGCTGTCTGCCCAGCTCCCCCAGGACTGCTTGGGAGCTCAGGGCAGAGGAATGAGAGGAGCAAGTTGTCCTCTTTTCAGCTGCTGCCCCCTGGGGACCATGCAGAACACAGTGGTCCTCTGATGCCCTGCCCAGCCCAAACCCCCGGGCTCCTCCGTCTGTCTCAGGAGCCCAGCCTCTGGCCACCAGGCGGCTTGTGAGTGGCTCTGCCCAAACCCGTCCCCGCTGCTTGGAAATACCATCCAGCCCCCCCTCCCCCCCTTGGACTACTGAGGCCTCCTCTCTTCTGGATTTTTTTTCTCCCACTTTTCACTTGACTATTTTTAATATTAACATAATACATGTTTCTTGAAGAAAAATAAAGTTGGAAGAAATATTGAGGTATAAAAAAGGCAGAAAAAAATCGCCCATCCACTCACTTGCAGAAGTTGTAGGGTGACTTATCACTTTGACCCAGTTCCTTTGTCTCTTTTGCCCTTCATTTTTTTTTTCATGGTTCAACCGATCCCTGTTGACACATGGCACATTAGCATTGGGCTGCCAGGGCTCCAGGCACCTCCCAGCTGGTACCCTGTCAGCCTGGGGAATATTTCAGACCCAGAGCATTTTTAGACCCAGAGGAAAAAAAAAAAAAAGCTTTAAAATAAGGCAGCAGAATTGGGGGCAAAATTCCTGAAGACTACATAGGAGATTTGTGCCGTTCTTCAGAGGTGGCTCAAGCCAAGCCTGAGAAGTAAGAGATGTGGAATCCTATTTTTAGAGAATATGGCACGCTAAATTCTCAGAATCAACACTCCTGTTGAAAACAACTTTTAAGAAGCCAGATAAAGTATTTTAAAAATCTTACAGGCACTGAAGAGTTGACAAGATACTAAAGCACTACTAGGGCCCAAATCTAAGGGAAGCCAGAAGTGCAGTAATTCTAGGAACAGCTCTTGCCCTGAGAATGTTTGCTTATCTAGATTTCCTTACACTTGGGGGTTAACAACTTTGTAAAGCTTGGGGCCTTCCTACCTGAAGCTGAAGGCCTAGCCCACAGGGGAAGAGGGAAGGAGTGAACCAGAAGTAAACCCCACCCCACGCTGACACGCAAGCGTCTGAAAGGTCAGTTGCCTGGACCCAGAGCACATGGTGGCGGTGTTGGTGTGGGGGGGGAGATGTCCGAGAAACTGTGACCACGGCTGGGTCCTCACAGGTACCTGCGGTCCCGATTTGTATCACCTGGGAGGACCCAGAGACCTCAGGCTGTGAAGTTTATCATCGTTTCAGATTAGTTGTATCCTAGGAGATCCCTGGCACAAGCAAATACAAATCCTTTCTGGAGACAGGCACTTGTATTCTAGGTTTCCAAGTGTTCTACAAGTGATTCTTCAAGGACGGTGAACATGACGCTGTCAACAAGGAAACACATGGAAACAAGGTGGTATGAACAAGAACCCAAACAACAGGTAACACAAACTCGAAGACTCCAGTTACTGGGATTGTTAGGTCCACATTGTTAAAAAAAACAAAAACAAAAACAAAAAACCTTTGGATGCAGGGGCATCTGGGTGGCTCAGTCAGTTAAGCATCTGCCTTCGGCTCAGGTCATGATCTCAGGGTCCTGGGATTGAGTCCTGCATCAGGCTCCCTGCTCAGCGGGGAGCCTGCTTCTCCCTCTCTCTCTGCCCCTCCCCCGCTTCTCCCTCTCTCTCTGCCCCTCCCCCCTGCTTGTTCTCCCTCTCTCTCTCATTCTCTCTCAAAAAAATAAATAAAATCTTAAAAAAAAAAACCACCTTTGGATGCTTTATTAAGGAAGTAAGAGAAAAGCTAACAAATATCCATTGGGAACAGAAAGTATAAAAACATGACCTCGTTGATTTGGAAAAAAACAAAACGGAATATCTAAAAATTTCTATAAGGGAAAAAACTAATAACAGAAACTTAAAAGTCCACAAAAGAGCTTAATGATAGATTAAGTAAAGGAAGAATTAGTAGATTGGATGATCAATTAGAGGAATTGCCCACAATGCAATTCCTAAAATGAAAAGTAATGAAAAATTTTTAATGTAGAGCATATCTGATATTCTGGGGCATCTGACTGGCTCAGTCAGTAGAGCATGCGACTCTTTTTTTTTTTTCTTAAGATGCATTTATTTATTTCAGAGAGAGAGAGAATGAGAATGCACAGAGAAGAGGGGCAGAGAGAGTCTCAAGCAGACTTCACACTGCATGGAGCCTGACACAGGACTTGATCTCATGACCCTGAGATCTCAATCCTGACATCACAACCCTGAGATCACCACCTGAACCAAAATCAAGAGTCAGTCACTTAACCAACTGCACACCCAGGTGCCCTAGCGTGTGACTCTTGATCTCCGGGTCATGAGTTTGAGCCCCATGTTGGGCATAGAGATTACTTTAAAAAAAAAAAAGTTCTGATATTCTATTTTTGCTTGCAATTTTTTCTTTTGATTAAAATGTGCATTGAATGAAATACACAGAGCTTAATTGTATGCTCACTGAACTTGATCTGTTTGACATAATTTATATTTATCTAAATATAGACCATTTCTATCACCCCAAAAATTTCCCAAATACCACTCCTCAATCTCTACCCCATTCCCCAGAGACAACCACTGTTCTGTTGGGTTTTTTTTTAAGAAAAAAAATTTTTTTAGATTTTATTTATTTATCCGAGAGAGAGAGAGAGAAAGATCACAAGCAGGGGGGTGGGGTAGAGGAAGAAGCAGACTCCCCAGTGAGCAGGGAGCCCAACCTGGGAGTTGATCCCAGGACCCCAGGATCATGACCTAAGCCAAAGGCAGACGCTCAACCCACTGAGCCACCCAGGTGCCCTGTTCTGTTTTTTTCTATATCATCGACTAGTTTTGCTTGTTCTCAAATAACATATAAATGGAGTATTACATATATAGGCTTCTGTGTACATTTTCTTTCACTCAGCATGTTTTTGAGATCCATTCATTTTGTGTGTATCTGTAGTTTGCTCCTTTCTATTGCTGAATAGTATTCCATTATATGACTATATGCAACTTACCTATTTTCCTACTGGTGGATACCTGAGCTGTTTCCAGTTTTTTCTGTTTTTTGTTTTGTTTTAAGTAGGCTCCATGCT